ATATCAGTGCTCGAAATAGAAGACAATAGCAGAGTAATCCGACCCTTCCGGCGCTATTACAAGATAATGCACGGTGCTCAGGCCGGGAGGTCGTTGCTACTCTACATTCACTGTAACCCGGTCGCCCTGAGCTTGGCTCCCTTCCGGATGAGCTGGGTCGGTGCTGGGGACGGAGCCGGGATCCTCATCCTCGACTGTCGTCTCCAAAGCAGCCGCTTCCGCCTGCATTCGCTGGAACTCGGCTTCCACCCATTGCTCATACGGTCCGGGCCCCGGCTGGCCCTCCTCTTCAGCCAGAATGGCCAGGTCTGCATACTTATAGGCGAGCTCCCAGACGTTGTAGTCTGCACCCGGGTGGATGACGGAGAACGCCCTCTTCATTCTATTTTGGCAGTCCTGCTCATTCTCCTCTATGAGTCGGCTCTGATCAGCCTCTAGAGTGGACTGGAAATTGCGCTGAGCATCGGCAGCCTCCTTGCTGACCAGGCGGTCATTCTCTAATTGCAGCCGTTTGCTGCTCTTCTCCGCCTGGTCGAGCCGCTTGAGGGGCTTTTCATGCTTTTTCAGCTCCTCTTCAGCGTTATCCAGGGCCGCCTAGAGGTTGTCCATTTTGAGCTTTTGCTCCGAGAGGGCCTTTTGGAGGGACTTGAGCTGATCCGCCTGTTGCATGATTATAGCTTTAGTCTCTAAGTCATGCACAATCATTGAATAATGAGCAACGCTATGCGCGTCATCCGCAGAACGTTTGGCTCTTCTTACCTCTTCCTGTTTGCGGATGTAGGCCCTCTTAAGCCCCTCCACGCGGAGCAATGCCTGCAACAATAACACAACCGGTATTAGTTGAAAGACCGGATGGGTTTATTACAAATTATATGCCGGGTGGGTACTCGGTGACTTACATCGGCCAGGTCGACCATAACCCGGTCGGCATTGAAGGTATTGATTCCAGGAATCGCCTCCTTCTCGTCCCGGGGGACGGCTTTCAGCATGGCCCGGGCGTATTGAGCAGCGTCCGGCCAGCGTGGTGAGTTATCTGCACCAGAAACAGACGGTGAGAATGCTGCGTACGCTCCACCAACGGACAGCCGGCTGATCGGTGAATCTCCCGACTGCGAAGAGGAGTACGATTTTACCCGCATGGGTATGTCGAGCAATGTGAGATCGAAAGGGTTTGTACCTTTTTGGGAAGCCTTTTGGCTTCTAGAAGCAGATGGACCAGTTGCGGTCCTTATGGGAGTGGCCTCTATGACCTTCTCAATATTAGACCCGCCAGGGGTCTTTATTGATTTACTGCCGGTAGTAGCCCGGTCGGTAGAAGCAGTTCTCAGCACCTTGAGTGCCGGTTCCTCAATAGACGGCCTTTGCCGGATCTGTTTTTGTAAAGAACAGGGAATAACACCGTCCTGAAACAAGACCACAAGCGGTTAGATGAATAACTAGCCAAAACAACATCAAAGTTAATCATAGAGAAGGTCAGGCGGTCTAACCTTTTTAGCCGCCTGAGCGGCAAGTTTCTTCTCCAGATTTTCCTTGCGGATATCTGAAGCCTTCCTTGCGGGTGTCTTGGCGGAAGGTATCATTTTCTTAGCTTCTTCTGCAAAACGAAAATACATCCGGTCAGAAATATGAATTTTACATTGCAATCAAGAGAAAAGGGGGCAGCCGGCAACAAAATTAACCGGCTAGGGTTCGTAACCTTTGGTTTTCCACATTTTGCTAAGCCCGCAGGCGGACAAGAAACACTCGTCCTTGAAAAATTCGTATTTGGGCACCCAGTTCTTGGGTACCCTTATTATCTCTTCGGATGTGAGAGAGGTGGAGGTCAGTTCGAAGAACCAGAGTCCAGAATGGCCACCCTGTCGGTATCAGGAACAGGGGGCAGCCGACACTTCTGCCCCAAAAGCTCTAGCTTCCGGTTGTAGGTCTGGTACTCCTTGTTCTCCTCTTCAGACGGAGCTTTGACCAGGTAGAACCGGTTCTTCTAGTCCGACCATTTGGACGGCTTGCCCAAGGTCATCATATATTTGGGGCGAGTAGTCAAGGTATACCAGGCCCTCCAGCCGCCTGGGCTCCGGCTCAAATAGTGCATATGGGCAAACGCCTCCCAGCCGGGGTTGAGATCCTGCATCTCGCAGGCGGCGATGTACCCTAAAATGTTCACCCAAGAATTCGGGGTGAGTTGCCAAATGCCTAGGCCATACCCCCTAAGTATGGCCTTAATTGTGTGGTGAAGGGGGAAGCGGACGCCGGCTAGGAAAGCCGCTTCGTAGCATCCAAACCAGCTGTTAGCGTTAGGCTGGTCATCTTCCCATACAACCGTCCCAAACTCCCCCGGCACGGTCATCTTGTATCCTTCACCAAGCGGCCGCCTGGTGATAAAGTCTTGAAGAGAAGACCACATGAGGGCACGGTCCCTCAAGGAGACGGCGATCATGAGAGGATCGTTTCTGCTTTGCCATGAAGGCCTCTCCGCCTCCTCGCTATCTTCTGATACGGTTAAGTAGCTGGAGCTACTGCTTTCAACCCGACCGTCATCAGAGCCGGCTGGGGAGTTGGGAGCGTCATTGGCAGCTCCTGGCTGCTCAGCCTCCTCAGCCGGAGAGGTCTCCTCGTTGTAGGAGCCTAGAATGCTATCGCTTGGGGTGGCGGGGGTACCGCCGGATGATTCTCTAACCTCCCCGTCTGGTCCTCGAATTTTTGGCGATAACTCGTTCGAGTCCCCGCCTCTGTAATTGGGGTCCATTGCTGTTCCCCTAATTCTGGCCATGGTGTCCTGCACAGAGACGGAGTCGGTCGATACAGGCGTTGAAAAGGGGAAATTCCAAAGATCAGAGGCGGCAGATCCAGTTCTAGACTCAGCCGTACTAATTGACCGGCTGAGTTCACAACTATGGTCCGGGTATGGGTATAAAGGGTCCATCTACCTAGGGGACTTATAAACAAAAATGCAAGCAAAAGACGCAAACGAAAATACATGGAAAAACAAGAAAGAATAGAGACGGTACCTAGAGTAAAGTGTTGAAAACCTCAAGAAATTTCTTGGGGATGCTTGCGAAGACACAGGCGATTTGAATACCGGCTGGGTTATATGAGGTACCCTCACAAAAATCTTTTGCTTGCTTGCTACTGCACAGGCGGTCTAATACCGGCTGCTCGTAAACTATGAAGTCTCCGTGTGCTCTGAATTTCAAGTACCGGATGCTCTGAAATGCCGGATGCTCTCAAAATTCAAAAAATTTCACGAAGTTTGTAAATGAGGCTTCGTGTGCTTCCTCCCCTATTTATAGGGTTTGTTTCGGAAGGCGAAGGGGTGCGACCCTTCCCCTTCTGCTTTTCCCCCTTCAGTTAGAATTTGAAGGGGTTCAAAAAAAAAAAATAAAAAATAAAAAAAAAAAAAATTTCGTCAACTCTCTTCTCAGGTGCCACATGGCACCTTGCCACGTCAGCGCCTGAGAGGGGCAAATGTTTGGGGTAAAATTACCCCAGCCACGTGGCCCAATGGCTGAGCAACACGTGGCACCTTGCCATTGGTCAGCAGGACTCCAATCCCCTACTGACACGTGTCCTAGGAACCCTAAATGGGGAACCAATGCTCCCCACTATAAATAGTGGGAGAGTCCTCATTAATGGGGCATTCAATTCCTTCCAATAGCATTCAAGGACAACACTTACAATCCATTGGCATTCAATACTATCATAAATACATTTTACACTAAAATCGGGCAATCTTAATTGCGGAATTCTCCCATTACGCGAGAAGTAATTACTCTTTTACGCACTTTCTTCCTCCCGTACATCACTGACTTGATCGTCGGAGGCGGAGCTCCACCCAACCGGAGTCTTCGTGGTTTTGCAGGTACAGGCGGTCGAAGGGCATTCTTGGAATTGTAACTCTCCCGCAGGACACATAAAAAAACCCCGAAACAAGAAGTACCTCAAAATTCCAACCATAATTGGAAAATCAAAAAAGATGGTCTTCGCAGCGCTCAAGGACAGAATTTGGAAGAAACTATCGAGGTGGAAGGAAAAATTATTATCAAGAGCAGAGAAGGAAATTCTCCTTAAATCTTTTATACAGGAAATCCCGACATACATCATAGGGGTATACAAAATTCCGGCAGGAGTGATTGATGAGATTCATTCGATGATGGCTCGGTTTTGGTGGGGTAAGAAGCGGAACGAAAAGGGTGCACTGGAAGAGTTGGAAAGATTTATGTACCCCTAAATGTCTTGGGGGTATGGGCTTTAGAGATTTAAAAGTGTTTAATGATGCCCTTCTTGGTTGTCGGGCTTAGCGAATTGCAAGTAGCCCGGACTCACTTTTAAATAAGGTGTTAAGTGCAAAATACTATGCAAGGAAGAACTTCTTGGAAGCTATGTTAGGTTTTGGGGGCAGCTTTTCATGGCGCAGCATTTGGGCCTCGAAGACTCTTATCAAGGAGGGTATGCTCTGGAAAATAGGAAATGGGGCGTCGGTCAAAATTTGGAGTTCATCATGGATTGACAATGGTGAAATTGAAAGCCAATTTATTTCTACCCCCATTAATGAAGATGTCTCCCTAGTAAGTAACTTGATTGACCACAACAGTAGAGAATGGAATGTGCCGTTAATTGAAAGCATTTTCAACGATGAGGATACTCGTAGCATCCTTTCCATTCCCTTGAGCTCCAAAACAAACCCAGATTCCATAATGTGGGCTTTCTCAATGGATGGTCGATACTCGGTGAAAAAGGCATACATGATTGGTAAGTCCTGCAATCTAGACCAATTTCACAAGTCTTGGGTGGATATTGGGAAGCTTGAGGTCACTCTGAAGGTCCGTCATTTCTTATGGAGAATTTGCACTGGAACTCTATACGTTCAAGCCTACTTAAAGTACAGGCATATGACCGATCTTAAGGACTGTCCGTGGTGCGCTGGTTGTCCTGATACCGTACAGCATGCTCTATTTGATTCTCACACTGTTCGTGAGCTCTAGATCGAGTGTGATTGTACGGAAATGTCATTCTGGCCAACAGGTATGTCCTTCTTGGATTTAATTGAATCGTGGAGCAAGCGGGATTCCAAGAAGGTATGTCGAGGGGTCATCTTAATATGGAACTTATGGACTAGAAGAAATGAGCTGATTTTAAATGGAAAGGAGATGTACCATGCGATGATCGTTGATAGAGTTTTCCGCCTCGCTGCTGATTGTTGCACCTATGCGAGTAAAATTTACGGTGGAATCAAGAAGAACTCCTACTCTAGTCAGAAAATTTGGAAGGTGCCTCCTGAGGGAACAGTCAAGGTAAATTGTGATGTGTCATTATGTGTGGATGGGAGGGTTGGTTTAGGAGTTGTTGCCAGAGATTGGAAAGGAGATGTCCTATTTGCAGTTACCAGTCGAACAAGAGCTCATTGGGCCCCCATTATAGCCGAGGTGAACGCTACTTCCTTGGCCATCAGACTTGCTAAACAACATGGGCTGTCCGACATCATCATTGAAGCAGATAACCAAGTTCTCATCAACCGTCTCTGCAAAGCCTCAATCTTCTTCACTGACCTCGACTCTATTATCGACTATATTTTATCTTCTTGTGTCTATTTTTATAATGTTATTTGAAGTTATGTTAAACGGGATGGGAATGTATTTGCACACAATCTTGCCCGTGTCCGATCGTTTGGTGTAGAGCAAATTTGGGAGAACCATTGTCCTTGTGAGGTTTCTCCGTATGTATTGATGGACAAATTATCAATATAATGCACCTTTTGACGGTTTCTAAAATTAAAAAAAAAACTTTTGGTTTGAGTTAGTACAAATTTCGGATCAATTCCTAATTTGTTTTCTGGAGCTGGATCAGAGGTGGATCAATTTTGTCTGATCTATTTAAATATGAATATCTATCGTTCACGATTAAAGCATTGAGTTCATTCAACCAAAGAGTAAAGTCAAAATTATCTTGTCATTGAGTCAATCTCATTCTCATGCTAATAAAACACAGTACACTCTTTGCCCAAAGAGGCTGCATTTCTTCATTTTTCAACAAGTTAATCCTCTTTTATACAACTCTAACTCCCCACATTCTTCCAAACTGTCATCATCTTAAACAACATGACTATTCCAAAAGGCAGAACATTGATCAATCAGTTGCACAAAAGAATTCTCAAATCACCCAATTCGGAAGATGTGGTTCTACCCACGAAGCAGAAATGGTGTTCAATGGTATGCCTGTTAAAAATATCATTACTTGGACAGCTTTGCTCACGGTATATGCAGAAAATGGGCAACTTGTGAATGCACGGAAGGTGTTCGATGAAATGCCGCAACGAAATATTGCATCTTGGAATGCGATGATCACTGGTTATGTGAGGAATGGTGTGGGAGTTCGTGAAGCTTGTGAGTTGTTTAATAGGATGCCGGAACGAAATGCAGTGTCTTATGCTGCCATGATCACTGGTTTCGCTCGTGCTTTTATGTTCGAGGAGGCGGAGAGATTGTACAATAATATGCCAAGAACTTGGCGTGACCCCGTTAGTTCTAATGCTTTGATTTGTGGGTATTTAAAGGCAGGTGAATTAAATGAAGCTTTTCGGGTTTTCTCGGGGATGGTGGAAAAAGATGTTGTTTCTTGGACGTCAATGGTAGATGGGTATTGTAGAAAAGGATATATAGAGGATGCTAGAGAATTGTTCAATATGATGCCTGTGAAGAATGTAGTTTCTTGGACAGCAATGATTAGAGGGCATATGAAGGGTGGAAATTTCAGAGATGGGTTTCTTCTGTTTTTGTCTATGAAAAGGGATGAGATTGTGAGGGTTAATTCTATGACTTTAACCACAGTTATTGAAGCTTGTGCTAACAATGACCGATATGAAGAAGCTTGTCAATCCCACGGTTTAGGTTTCCGCATGGGATTTGAGTGTGATCCAATATTATGCAATGCTCTCATCAATATGTATGGTAAATTTGGCTGTCTAGAAACTGCCATTAAGCTGTTCAATCATATGAGCAAGAAAGATATAGTTTCTTGGAATTCCATGATTTCATCCTATGTTCATGCTAATCAGGTTGACGAAGCTTATAGTCTTTTTCAAAATATGCCAAGAAGGGATATTTATTCTTGGACAACTATGATTGGAGGGTTTTGTGGAAAAGGTGATATGGCAAAATCAATCCAATTGTTTGACATGATGCCACATAAGGATGATGTTGCTTGGACTGCTGTTATTTCCGGCTTGGTTAACAGTGAGAGACCTACCGAAGCTATTCATTGGTACATTAGGATGACTCGAGGATCCTTCAGACCAAATGTTCTTACTATGAGCAGTGTGATCAGTGCTGCTGCTGGTTTAGCCAATTTAATCATTGGCTTGCAACTTCATGCTCATGTTGTGAAGATGGAAATGGAGCTTGATTTGTCAATTCATAATTCCTTGGTGACAATGTACTCGAAATGTGGACATGTTTCTGATGCATATCGTGTCTTCATGAAAATTGCTTCACCAAATGTCATTTCATTTAATTCGATGATCACAGGCTATGCTTTTCATGGTCTTGGACAAGAATCACTTCGGTTATTTGAACAAATGGAGAAAAAGGGGCTGGAACCTAATGAAATTACCTTCCTTGGTGTTCTTTCTGCCTGCACGCACTTGGGTTTAGTTCAAAAAGGACAAGAGTATTTCAAATTGATGAAATCAGCCTACCATATAGAGCCAGGGCCTGATCACTATGCATGCATGATTGATCTTCTTGGCCGAGCAGGATTACTTGACCAAGCAGTTAATGTTATCCATTCAATGCCATTTGAACCTCATGCTGGAGTTTGGGGAGCGCTTCAGGGTGCAGCACAGTCCCACTTGCGTATTGATGTTGCAAAGCTTGCAGCTAAAGAAATTTTGAGACTGGAACCAAATAACACAACCCCACATGTGGTCTTGTCGAAAATATTTTCAATTTTAGGAGAAAAGGAGACGGAAGAGGTTAGACAGACGCAAAAATTAAAGGGTAAAACTCCAGGCTGTAGTTGGGTTTTGGTGACAGGAAATAGTAATTAGTTTGTGTTGGAGATGAACCTTGCATGAATCATGAATGTGATGTACTGGGGGGCAGACATCTCAGATATGTTTGGTCTGTGGGTTTCATCCGGGTTGATCATTATAGATTTATGATAGGAAGATGAACTTGAGTAGTCAAGGTGCTTTACTGTATATCAGGAGGTATTGCTGAATTACACCTTTCAAATTTATTACATACATGACTTGAAAGGTTGACTCATAGTGCTCAATTGGCAAGACGGCTTCTGCGTCGTACGTCATAAGAAACGGGGTTTCACCGGTTGCCCCTTTTTCAGTTGTTCAGATGGTCCATAAGACATGAGGTAATTCATCTGCCCATAGACCGCCAGCCCTTTCAATTTTCTTCTTAATGCCGTCTGAGATGAGCTTGTTGAAGGCTTTAACCTGGCCGTTTGCTTGGGGACGGCCGACTGATGCGAAGCAATGTGAGATCCCTTGATCTCCCAACCAATTCTTGAGGGTAGGCGTCTCAAACTGAGGGCCATTGTCAAAGACCATAGACATAGGTATCCCAAACTGGGTGATAATATTTCTCCAAATGAAGGAGATGACATCCTTTGTCTTTATGCCCTTGACCGCCTCTGCTTCTACTCATTTGGTGAAGTAGTCAACAACAAATAGAACATATCGCCGTTCACCTGTAGCATGCGTATATGGACCCATAATGTCCATGCCCCATTTGGCAAATGGTACTGGGCTGAAATAGCCGTCAGATCAGTAGTCAGACGGTGTATGAATTTGCTAAATCTTTGACACTTATCACATTTCTTTTTGATTGCTTGGAAGAATTAGAGGCACTTGTCTCCTGACCGGCTGAGGAATCTCCCCAATGCCGCCAGTTAATTTTTGTACTTCTTTGACAGTGCGGGGTGACTTCATGTCAATAACCACCTGTATCTTCTTTGGGTTGGCCTCTATTCCCCTTTGATCAATCAGAAATCCGAGAAACTTCCCACACTCAACACCAAAGACACACTTCTTGGGATTAAGCATGACCTTGTACCGCCTGAGGGTGGTGAAGGTTTCTCGAAGGTCAGCAAGGTGATCCGTCTGTAGCTTGGATTTGATTATCATGTCATCAATGTACGCCTCTACATTCCTCCCAGTTTGATTAATGAAGATTGTATTAATCATTCGTTGTAAGGTAGCAGGCGCATTTTTCAACCCAAACGGCATCACAGTATAACAGAATAACCCTTGATCAGTGACGAATGCCGTCTTCTCTTAATCTTTTTTCCACAAGGGTATCTGATGAAAGCCTGAGTAGGCGTCCATAAATCTCATCAAGGCATGACCGGCTGCAGAGTCGACCCTGTCGATCTTTGGATGGGGATAACTATCCTTCGGACATGCTTTGTTCACATCAGTGTAGTCAACACACATCTGTAAAGTGCCATTCGGCTTTTTTACAAGAACAACATTTGCAACCCATTCCGAAAAGTAACATTGCCGAAAGAACACAGCATCCAACAGCTTCTTTACTTCGGCGGCTGCCGCCTGACTTCTTTCCTCACCGTGGTTCCTTTTCTTTTGCCTAACCGGCTTCTTCTTGGGATCCACGACAAGTTTATGAACAGCTAGATCCGGGCTGATGCCTGGCATCTCTTCTACTTCAAAGACAAAGATGTCTTGGAATTCTTTCAATAGGTTGTGCAAGTTTGCACCCAACCTCACAAAAGCAATCGTCCCGACCTTAACAGTTCGATCTGGACGTGTGTCATCCAGAACGATATCAATGTCTTCACCAGCCGTCTCACCGTTCCCCAGTCAGTGATTGCTATTGCTTCTCTTTTTTCACGGCCACCAACTGGTCGGCCTTTCTTTTTTTGTCGGCTGCTATTGGAGCAGGCGCGACTTCCTTGACCTCATCAAGGTCTATAGGCTCTTCACCATGGTCGGATGCGGCCACAGTAGGATTGACGTCTGAGAGGTAACACTCTCTTGCCGTCTTCTGATTCCCATTCAAGGAACCTACAGACCCGTCATCCTTTTCGAATTTCAGTAGCATAAGGGATGGAATGATGACGGCCTTGGATTTATTCAGTGTTGGACAGCCTAATATCAGATTGTAGGCGGTCAACTCCTCAACGACTAAGAACCGAACTACCATGTGGCGTCCTTCTCCCTTCTCCCCTAACCTGATGGGTAGGTCAATCCTCCCTACCGGATGCACTACTCCACCCCCAAAACCAACTAAGGGGTGAGTTACTTTGTGTATACTGCCGAGCTTGTACTTGAGCTTTACCAAGCACTTATGGCTGATCAAGTCAGACGAGCTCCCGATGTCAATAAGGATCCGACCTACCTTTTGGTTGACCACTTTGCATGCAATGACTATGGGATCATCATGCGTCCGCCTGACCTTGCCCCTGTCCTTCTCAGTGATGATGACCTCAGGAAAGGTGTCTTTTGACGCCTGGCCCTTACCAATTGAGTTGACATCCAACCGATATAGTCTTTGGTGCCCCGGATGGTTGGACCTCCTCCAGCAAAACCGCCTGCTATTGTATAGATCGGCTCTTCTTTAGTGTCCGAACTATTGGCAGGTTGGGCCGCCTTTTTGGACGGCTGTCCATTGTTTGTCCTCAGGGTCACCTTGGACTTCAGAATGTAGGACTTCAGCACCCCAGCACCCCTTTATCAGCCACCCCTTTATTAGCCAAACGGTCCAACAATCGTTTGAGGCTATAACAATCGTTGGTGTAATGGTCTATGTCCTCATGGAAATGACAATATTTGTTCTTGTTCCGATTTTTGACGGAACCTTTCATTGCAGCCGGTTTCTCAATAGTCACCCGGTCTTTGTTTTGATCTCCATGAGGATGGAGTAGCAGTCCTTGTTAAACTCATACTTACAAACGTACGGTTTAAACTCTTTTTCTTTTTTTTTTTTTTTTTTTTTTTTTTTCTGAAAGGGCTGTTCAGAGTCCCAAACTTCTTTTCTCTTCTTACTCTCTTCTTTTTAAGCCGGCTTAGCAAGCCAACTCTCTTTTTTGTCGAACTTCTTAGGGTCTGACTGTTTACTAATGGCGCAAAGTTCAATTGCCTGCATATAGGCTTCCGCCTCCATCAAAACTTCTTGGACGGTAGCAACCCTCTTTCTGACGAGGTCGAACTTAAAGGTCGACCCGTCCTTCTGACCTTTAAAGAAGTCTGTGTAAACCACTTCGTCAGACAGCCCTTGAATCTGAATTCTCATCAGATTGAACCGCCTGACATAAGACCTAAGCCCTTCTCTATCTCCCTGGTATATGGCACCCAAGTCAAGTCTTGTTTTCTTAGCAGGGATGTTCATAGAGAAGTTAGAAGCAAACAAGTACGCAAGCGTCTTGAAGCTATTGATGCAGCCGGCTAGCAGATTGCCAAACCATCGTTGGGCAATGCCCTTCAATGTAGCCGGGAAGCAGCAGCACCAGGTGACATCATCCAACCCCTGTAAGTACATGAGGTTGGTGTAGGCCATCAGGTGTGGTACCATCATAAGTACCCACCAACACATTCTTAACCTTAGCTGGTTGTGCCGCCTCGGTTATTTCCTTGGAGAATGCAGAAGGCTGTTCTCTAATTTTGAGCAGACGAAGCTGCCAGTCTAAAGGTTGGACATTCTGCGCCACCTGACCCCCAAATAGAGCCGGCTCCGTATATGGTTGCCCACACGGCATGTATGGCTGCAGAGGCGCATACGGAGCCGAATGTAGTGTGAACGGACAAGCCACCTGACTGACTCTCTCGGTTTGATTGCTGAATACCTCATTGAGGTATTTTGAAAGCTGTCCGGGTAAGACGACGTTGAACCCGACTTAGACAGTTGTTGACATTTCCTCTACTGGATTAACATCCGGGCATCAGATTAAGCCTTCTTTGATCCATCCGGCTAAACATGCCGGATGGCCTTCCTTTTCCCTATTTCAGGGAATCGGATCTTGGACAGATCAATCACGGGCCGGTTCCCCTCCTTTGGTTTAGGATGCGGAGTAGGCACACAGTCCTTGACCGGTTTTTTCTTCTCTGGGGGAGAAGGTTTCTTGGCCGACTAACCCCTGCTGGAGCCAACCGTCTTCTTGTTGATCAAGTTCTTGATTTCCCCTTTAAAACTTGTCATGAATTTTATGAGTTCGTCTCTAGTAACAAGGGCTGCGCCTTTTGCCGCCTGGGGTTGTTAAGACGGCTGACCGACTGTCTCACTTGGACCAACTTGCTCTTTGCCCCATTCCCTTGTTTCCATGGGACGGGTGCACCTGGGTTCTGAGTGACCCTTTTGGGCCACATAGGTTTCGACATCAAAGTCGTCACCACTGTCTTGGCCTGAATAGATCTCAACCTCGACCGTAGGCCGTTTCTTGTTAGCAGGCGGTACAAACTCATGTGAAGCCTCTTAGAAGTACTCTCCCCACATACGGCGCCAAATGTTTCGGGTTTTCTGTGTCACTCGGGAGAATTACAATTCCAAGACTGAATTCTGGGCGCCTGTACCTGCAAAGCAACAAAGATTCTGGTGGGGTGGAGTTCCGCCTCCGACGATCAAGTTAGAACGTGTTCGGATGATGTAAAAAGTGCAGAAAGTAAAGTATCTTCTCGGATTCCGAGATCGAGGGTATTCTCTGAGGTGAGAGGTAAATATCTACAATTAATGATTGCTCTGTTTTCAGTGAATATTTGTGAATGTGTCCCCAGGTGGGAACATCTCCCTATTTATAGGGTCTTAGGATGCGCGCCGTCATTCCGCTATCCCGGTAATTGGGCTAAGAAGGCCGTCTTTTTCCCAATGATTGGGGATGCCACATGTCAGCAGAGGATTGGTTCATTTTAAACCTCTCTTAAGGTGACATGTGTCACCATTTTATTGGGCCACGTGACCTTGGGTATTTTTACCCAAAACAACTTTGACTAATGATATATTTGCTTATCAATGCACAACTTGCCAATGCACAACTTTAACTAATGATATCTTTACTTATCAATTAGTATAAATCATAAAAAAATGATATTTGGAAATTATGCTATAAGTTTATTTTAGCAAGTCTCATTAATTATATTTTATCTTACGTATAAAGCACAAAAATTGGTCAAAGTGGTGCATGTAAATAATGTCAAAGTCAAAATGGGGCACTTAAATAAAAACGGAGGGTGTATTTATCTTATCTCACCTCCAATTGACAGTTGAGAGTTTTACCACGTTTTTCGGGGACAGTCTAGCTTTGGAGGTGAGAAGAGTTGAGAACAAAGTGGCGAACAAATGTGTAACGCGTGGGAATCTGCCGAACAGTTTGTGCCAAATCCTGAATAAAGCTAAAAAGCGTTGTTTGAT